TGAATTTAATTAAAATCAAATTTTAATTAAATAGTAGAATTAGAGTCAAACTCTAAATCTAAGATTTTTAGGGTCAACCAGTTTAATTAAAATCAAATTTTAATCAAACACCAAATTAGAGTCTAATTCTAATTGGAATAAATTATAGGGTAAATTGATTTAATTAAAATCTAATTTTAATTAAATAGCAAATTAGAGTCAAACTCTAATTTCAAGAATTAATTTTTGGCGTGACAATTTAATTAAAATCAAATTTTAATTAGATGTCAAATTAGAATCCAATTCTAATTTCTAAAATATCTTTGGGTGAAAAATTTAAATAAAATCCAATTTTAATTAAACATTAAATTAGAATCCAATTCTAACTTAAATTGAATTAAGATTTTAATTTAGGATAAAACTCCTAAATAAAATAAAATTCAATTTAGGGTCAAAGTTTAATATTTATGTTAAAATCTAATTTTAACGAAAATATAAAAAGTCGTCAACTTTAAATAGAATTTTAAATCTGGGTCAAAAATTAAAATTATGGGTCAAACCCATTTATAGTACAATTTTAAAATCAATTCAAAATTCAAATTCAAAACCATTTGGAAATTGAAATTTAACCCAAGTTAAAATTTACAATTAAAACCTTACAATTTCGAAAATTTCAGAACTGGCCCTCCCAATTTCACAAATTACAGAAACAGGTCCTTTTTCAAAATTTGCAAACTTGACCCCTTTTATTAAATTGCAAAGAGGGGCCTTCAATTTCTCAAATTGCATCACAGCCCCCGTCTCCAATTTCTGTCACCCGTATGGAAGAATAAACCCTAGATCCAACCCTTCCTTCCCCCTCCCTTTTTTTTTTTTTTCTTGGCGACGCCGGTCGATGCCGGCGTCACATAACCCACAGCAGCGCGCCGTGCGCGCTGCCCAGCAGCCGGTGCTGCTGCTATTATTAGCAGCAGCGACCGTGCTGCAATTTGGCAGCGGCCCGCCGCTGCTCTTCCAGCAGTGACCGCGCCGGTCGCCCTGCTCTTCCACCGCCGCTCTCTTCCACTTCCCGCCGGCTGTTGCCAGCTGCCCGCCGGCTGTGGAGCCTGCCGTTGATCCAAAAATAAAAAAAACAATTTTTTTTTTTTTTTTAAATTCGAAATCAGTTTTCAAAATTAAGAAAACTAAATTTTATTCAATTGCTAGAAACATGAAAAATTGATAACAATCAACTTTTGATTGCACAAATATATTAAACAATTTCTAACAAACACAAAGTAGGCTCTGATACCACTGTTGGGAATCTACTTATACATGCACAGCGGAAAATTAAATTATTTCGATTCCCATCCAATAGATCTCATTGTGTTTGGTTAGGAATTGTGATAACATTGTACCTTTTTCAGATCTGCAATCATTTTGCTTTTCTTTTCGTTCCACAACTTTGATTCGCCACCACAGCTGTCCAATTGTTCAGCCTCCAACGATGATCCACACAGAGAAAATGATTGCAGCCTCTAGGGTTTTCTCTTGTGCTAGCAAGAATAATGAAAACCTTAATGGACCTCAAACCCTAGTTATGTATTTACATAAACCCAAATAGGCTCGGCCCGGTCCGGCCCAATAATTAATTAATCCAATTAATTAAACCCGGTCCGTGAATTAATTAATCCAATTAATTAATTCGAAAATATAAATAACAAATCCAATTGTCCCTGATTGATATCTAGCAATGTGTCAGGGCAATACATGTGAGGGGAAATGTTACGTGGTATGACAAAACCAAATTCGTTCGTTTACCGTGAAACTATAATCCCTTCGTCAATATGATCTGATCAATTACGAGATATGGAATTGTGTCAATCTCGATCATCGATCATATCTTTCACTCCACTATTAAGTCAATATAAATCGAAAACTCCTTTTCGACTTATGAGTACACCTTGGCCAAGGATTTCATCATTGACTTAATTGAATGAAACGCAGATCATAATCTCCTACTATCTAAGAGTGACGAATCCTTTATTGATCAATCACAACCTTCATACGATTCTTGACGTACCCGAACGATGTCGTATTAACGGCCCTTTTCAGAGCAACATCCAACACCGCCAAAGTATGACTGTCCTCATATAAGGTACCATGACGACCTCAAGTCAAAGGACCAATTTCACTACCGAACGTTAGAGATTAACCACCGACACTCAGATAGTTATCCATGTGGAATCTCTCGACGGGTCTCCAATGTTTTGTTCTATAACAAACATCCACGTGTTCATTTAAGTGTCACCACACTTTAACTTGTGAGATCAGCTACTTACTTCACAAGTAAGAAATGCCACACGTGATGGTCTATCCGTAATAACGATATCCGTATCTCGTTATTACTTACGACCACGGATGATTTAAGATTCAATCAGATGTAATTTGTATCTCACAATCACAACTCCTTGTGATTAATAAATTACAAATATTTGAATCTACGGACTCTATTATTTATTTAATTGTCTATTAATTAAATAATAGATCTGCCATTTAATTGCATTAATTATATATGAAAGTATTTATGTCCAAAATCGATTGGACCTAGGGCATAATACTTACAATAGTATCACGATGAAAGATGAAAAGAAATCAAATACAGTCAAAGCTAGATGAGATAGTTTAATAGTACCTATTTCCTCCCATTGGATCATCCTCGTCTTCAAACTGTTGAAGCGCGACATGAATAAGCAATTGGCTATCACGAGCACGCTTTAGGCACTTCTCCAATGCCGAACAGAAGTCTAAAGTCTTCAAGCTATTCTCGAAGTAGTCCTCGACCAGTTCAAACAATTCTTGATTCTTCCATATGTCTTTCTTGCACTCCAAGATTACCTTAACAACCTCCTGATTCATCTCCAGCAAACACTCCGTCACATCCTTCAAAGAATCCACAGATAGAGCTCGAACTTCTACCCCGACAGCTAGAGAACTGATAACGTTATTGGTTCGTTCTTGGAGAGTCGTATCAAAGGATTGCAAATCTGCATCAACCCTGCAGGCAGCTTCATAGGAATTCAGCTCAGGTGTGTATTGTAGATTGTTGACTGTGCCTGAAGTTTCACCAGGCTTATTCTTGCTCACGTGACTTCCCATTAATGTGCCTATTCAGATCTATATTGCTTGCACTCTACAACTATTTTTAAAGATAGCAAACGTGTTGTCTACAGAGACCGTCCGGCTCGATCTGCACAAATTGAACCAAAAAATAAAATAAAATTGAGAAATCGACATAATTTTCTTTTATCTGCTTGCTTCAAAAAAAGGTTCCTGCTTTAACAGAAAGTGTGAAAATTTTGAAGAAGGAAATCTTATAAGAGAATAATTGCGTGCACAATTGTACACAAAAGTTTGCAGAAGTAATTCAATCCATTAAAGTAAAACCCTACTTCATAGATTTCTAGGAGATAAGCTCGAGAAAAACACAAAAGTTAACAAGAGAAAGAATCTGAATTGGTGCTTACTTATAGAATTCGTGGCGATGACAAGCAAGAATTCGTCGACTAAGGTATCAAGCCCTTGGAAATATAAGGAACAGAAAAAAAAAATGTAAGTATATATTGAGAGGAAGAGAGATGAGGAATGAAGAAGCTTAAAGAGAAATGAAACAGTTAAGGGACCAAGAAAATAATGTGGTGGCGGCGACTATATGAGAAATAGCTTGCACGCATTGAGTTAGGTAATTGAGATTGCATGTGGAAAACGCGGGAAACCAATGTATTTCCATGCATGTATATCTACATCTGGAAGCCATACATCTCTTTTAAGAGAGACAAATAAAATTCTAAAGTTGTTAACGTCCAAAGCTTCCTATTTACTACTCGTTACCAAGAATGGCATAAGTTATTCTGGGCACGTTTGATACATAATATTAAAGATGATTTATTAATATAAAGCAGCATAATATTGTTTTACATTCAGATAATTAACTATTTTCAAGTAAAAAAATAAAAATAGAAAAGTGAGCTAGCTATTTTGACATTTTATAGGATTCACAACTTTTCAATCACATCTTTTATCAATTTTCATCAAAATCTACTAAAAAATCGATTATTATTTGAACCGAACAGGGGTTTAATGTGTTTATATTTAATATGAATTTAATTTTCTTAATTTGAGTGGATATATGCATAATTTAAAGCATGTATGGTTAATTTGAGGTCAACAGATGCATGACAGCTTGATTGTTTATGTTGAAAAAGATGTAATTGATAAAGTTGAAAACGATGTCATATAGGCATTTTCAAAGTATGAAAATTCAAAGAGAACAATTGTATAAAATTTGCTATAGTTTTAATTTTAGTTTGTATTGTTTTGTTTGAAATAAATTCCTATAGTTAATTTCTACTCCCACTAGACTTAATTCGTGACTCCGTCGCTAAATATGAGACTCATTGATCAACAATTGAGAAACAAATACACAATATGAACAACTACACACATCCATCCCACTAGATTTAATTCGTGACTCCGTCACTAAATATGAGACTCTTGAACAAGTGGGAAACGCATACACAATATGAATAGTTATGCACATCCACCGCGTTGGAGTTGAATTACTAACAATATTTGGTTTTAATGCATTAGACACCACTTAACATATACAAGTGGTACATTATTGACAACTATTTGACCTCTCTTATTAAACAATAAACTCAAGAAGATTTTCCATTACAAAATCGACAATAAAGATGGTGAAATGAGTTTTAGGTCAGTTTTCTTTAAAAACTTTTATAGTGAAATAAAGCAATTTCAAAAAATTGTCTAAACATATTTAAAAACAGTTTCTTTGTCTCATAAGTAATTTTTGACTTTTCAAAAGTCCTACTACCTGACTTATAAATTCGAATAAGATAACCTCTTTTGGTTCATACGTTTCATTTAGGACCATGTTATATCTACTTAAAGGTTGACACGATGGTCTACATCCATGTGAGTTGACAGATTTTGGTACATTGATCTTAACAACACCTTTTTCAATTGACCATCAGATTTTTAAAATATAGGAAGGTATCAATCAAGGTGCACACATTTTGTGTAAAAGTAGTTTAATCCTTTCATTTATGAGCTATCTATCTTCTATAGAGAATCACCTCTTTGCATGATTTAACTATACATTCTATTTGTAAGAGTTATGACAAAGTGAAGGGGAAAAAATAGAGAGATTTCAAATTGCCTGTTGAAGCATTTACTAATTACAATGAAGCTACTATTATGAAAGAAAATTATAGTCATAATTGGAGAAAGCTTGAAGAGATGCAAATAATCTTCAACACTAACCTTTGCAATCTTTAGAATCTTCCACTTGAAGTAACCACCTTATTATAAGATCTTGATGAATGTATCAAACCATACACTCAATTTTTGTTTATTGAGTTATCTCTGTGCTACAATGTTAAATTGGATATTTATACTAATTTGAACCCTAAGAAAGTGACTTGCTAGGAAAGTCATTCATAAATCCTTCATTTGGGATAAGAACAAGTAATTTTTTTTCAAAATGCAGACAGCTTTCATGTTAAAAAAGTCCAACTAAGTTGAACTCCTTGTACAAAATTAATGTCTGCATTGACGATCACAAAACTGTTTTTTGTCCAAGACCCAGTGAATCATTTCCACCTGTTTACCTATAATACTATCTGTACATTTCTTTTGTACATGTAGCAAAGTTCAATTTATAACTCCTTCATTGCACCATCCTAAATATACGAGCTTTTATTTCAATTAATGTTTAATTTAGCTAAAAAAGTTGATTAAAATCTAATTTTTATCTAAATCAAAACAGGGCTAAATAACAAGAATGCTATACAATCAAATCACAACCGTATTTTTTGTACAATTACCAAGTTTCGGTAATTAAAAAGAAAAAAGCAATATCACGTGACAAATTTTCCTCACAGCGGTCTATGTTTTATAAACACTATAGATTGAATTGTTTTAAAAATCGGTACTAAAATTACTTAAAATTAATCCACTTATAAATGTTCAAAATTAATATTTTAAAAGATGTCCATAATATGTACGAAGCAGACTCTTCTGAAAAGAAGCAACAGAAGTCCAAATGATAATTTCTTGAAAGTGGCATTTCTGTTATTTTAATAAATACTAAGGATGTTTGTTTTCAGGAGACTTCCATGAAAAGCAGCTGAAAGTTCGCAACAGAACAATCAAGCAAGCCGTTAAAAACAGCCGCGTGTTCCGTAACTGACTCGAAGCTGACACGCCACCATAATCCACGTGGCCACACGCTATTTGCTGCAGTACCGTATATAGTTCTAAACGATTCCACGTATATCAATAAATTCTTATCAACAAATTCCACGTATGTCCCAATCACTTGTGTTGTTCGTGATAAGCCTCGTGATTTTCTTTATCTTTAAATACTTTGTCTAATTCCATCATTTGTACGTGTATTAATTTGTTTTTTCCGATAATAAAATTTGTGATTCTGCTTTTGAAAAATGCTTTGTAAATGAATTAAAAATGCATTTGATTGCAAGTATAAAATTTACATGGAAATAAAATAAATTTTAGGCAATTCAATTGTATAAAACTTATTTGCATGGAAGTTATCAATTAAATTTTTTTAATTAATTTAATTTTTAATCTCGAAAATATTATACTTACCTTTTTTTATTAGTGGATAGGTGAGAGAGAAAAAGAGAGTGAATTCCTTGAACAATAAAATCTTACTCCTCCTAAAAAAAATAATTTCTTTTATTTTGAGAAAAATATGGTCACGTGACCAAAAGTGTAAAAATATTTTTAATGGAGAAAAATGATAATCAAACAGCACAAAAGTAAGAATTTGAGTGGAAAAAATACATTTTTCATAGAAAATGTTGACGATCAAACGTACCCTAATATATCAAAGAATAAAAACATTTTTTTCCATATTTTTGCGACGAAATGTGATTTACTTCATTAGAGAGCAATGATGGAGCCCAAGGGCGAACCCACTGTTGGACCTGGTGGGTCATGTGGCCCACCAGGTTTTTTAAAAAATTTTTATTTTTATTTTTTTTAATATTCCAAACAACACCCAATTCCCAAGCAATTCCCAATTCTCACGTGACCCACCCAATTCCCAGCCAACTCCCAATTCCATTAATTAACAAACATTGAAAATTGAAAACAGAAAAAAAAAATGGGTGTAAACCCATAACTCATTACAAACCAAACGGCAAAGTGCGAACACCAAAGTTTGAAAAGAAAACCGTTCATTTGCTGACTGCAAATTTGCCTTGTGCCACTGGTTGCCAACAATTGAAATTTGAAAGGAAAATATCGCTCCACTAACTCAAAATTTCTACGTCCGTCACTAATGGAGCCTGAAAACATAATTGATAGGGGCTTAATTTTAACTATAGGAAAAAAAATTACGCCAAAATATAATAATATTAGAAAATATCAGTGATGTTAAATAATATGATTCGAATTTGATTATTTATGTGATTATGTTGATAAATATCTTATTACGTCATAATTGTCATGAAATAAGATTACGAATTTCAATACAATACCAAGATAAAAAATCTTGTCCATAAATTTAAGTTTTTATTTATGACTTTTTGTCATTACATTCCATTTAGAATTGTCTTTAGTAATTCTTTTTTTTGTCATTCCAATATTATTTCTATAATTATTTTGTTCCTGTGAAACTTTTATCAAAATATTCAATAGATTATAGAAGGTAATTCTTTCAAATCTTGCATAGAAACTATTTTCAAGAGCTTAATTCAAACAGAACAAGTTATGATGCAATTGGACCGCTCAAAACATGAAAATTATTGGAATTTGACGGAATATTTTAAAATATTTTTGACTGAAAACTTATGTCTTTTCGGACAATTTTGTTTTGTCTTTTTTAACATGTTCTTTTCGAACAGTCACATCTCGTCGTGGAAATATTTCAACAACCATGTCTTCCCTCTACACGACATTTGTGTTTTGTCAAAACACAAAACTCAACTTTTCAAACATTATATTTGCACAAGCTAGTCTTAATATTTTCTGCATAAATCACTTTAGTCCAGAAATAATTTTCTGAATAAAGTTTAAGTTCGTACAAAGAGAGTACGAAATGCTATCTCGTTCGTTGATTTTGTAATTTGAAACGTACAAAGGTAGTTGTGTTATTTTTCGATACATGTCTTGACAACCGAATTCATCTGTGTATGACAATTTCACCTTAAGAGGGAAGAACCGAACTCTTACTTCAACCTAACTTCTTCTTTTTACATTTATCTGTAAATCAAAACTCGGTCCTAATTATAGCATAATTTGCACTAAATTTACCAACAATATGTCCTATTTTTTGATATATTTTAAACTTCCAAAACTCAAGGATAATTTAGGACACTCTTTGGACACATACGACATGGCATGAGGTCTATCCAATATAGTTTTTATTCTTTCTATTTCTAGCACATGAGAAACACTTTACAACACATCAGTGACACGGAAGTCTCATCTTGTAAATCGGATTAATATGAAAAATGTTCTACCAAATTCACATTGTCCATCTACTAAGTCAATTTTCTTTATTTGAGGAAAAAAAAAAAAAGAGTATTTATTTCGTGTCGTGTGTGTGTCACATGTTCCTATCGTGTGTTAATGTCATATCCGTGCTACTTAGCTCAAGATTATCACATTATCATGTTCGTGCACTAAGATGACCACGAACACAGAGCAACAAAAACAGTTTTGATTGAAGCACGGCATTTCTTCTTATTAAATGGAACTTATTCTGAGTAAAGGCCAGATTCTCTGCATTATCCATCCATGATTGTCTCGGTTTCTTCGAATCAAAATGGAAACGGGTTAATTTCATAAACGGTCACTGACCTATAAAGAAAATTACAAAACGGTCACTGAAGTTTAAAACTTTCAGTAACGGTCACTTAAGTCTTGGGGCGCTTTCAAAAATGGTCACTAAAATTTAGAAACTTGCAAAAACGGTCACTGAAGTTTAAAAACTTTCAGAAATGGTCAGTGAAGTTTAAAAACTTTCAGCAACGCTCATTGAAGTTTTTTTTCCAGTTTTTTGGGCTACTTTTGCGACAACTTTTCTATCATTTTCGACCATCGATATTACCAAATTTTGATACCGTTTAAAAGCCTACAATGTCCTCTTCCATTACCATCCAAAATCTCCCCATTACTCCAAGGAATTTGACCGAAACATTGCCGCAAAAATCGCCAAAAAAATCTGAAAATCTGCCAAAATCTTCAGATTTTTGGGAGGTTTTTGCAGCGATTTTCCTGTGAATTCCGACCACCAAACAGGCTAATTTTGGATGGTAATTGAAGATGAGATTGTAGGCTTTCCAACGGTATCAAAATCCGGCAAAATTGATGGTCGGAAGTTGCCAGAAAGTTGTCGCAAAAGTCACCCAAAAAACTGAAAAATTTGCCCAGATTTTCGCATTTCCCAGTAGCCAACTTTGTGGGTTTATTCCGGCCGAATATTTTGGTGTTTGGGGGATATTTTTCATGGAAATTGAAGAGGACATTGTATGCTTTCCAACAGTATCAAAATACAATGGTATTGGTGGCCGGAAGTTGCCGGAAAGTTGCCTCAAATTAGCCCATAAAATCTGAAAAATCTGCCCAGATTTTCGCCTTTTCGGTAGCAACTTTGTGGGTTTATTCCGGTTGACTCCTTTGAAGTTTGGGGGAGATTTTTTATGATAATTGAAGAGGAAATTGTAAGCTTTCCAACGGTATCAAAATCCAGTGGCATTGGTGGTCGGAAGTTGTCGGAAAATTGCCTCAAAAGTAGCCTAAAAAATCAGCCCACATTTTCACCTTTTTGGGTAGCCAACTTTGTGGGTTTATTCCGGCCAAATCCTTTGGAGTTTGTGGGATATTTTGGATGGTAATTTAAGAGGACATTGTGGGCTTTCTAATGGTATCAAAATCTAGAAATTTTGGTGGTCGGAAGTCATCGAAAAATCACCGTAAAATTGGCCCAAAAAATCTGAAAATATGGACAGATTTTTCGATTTTTGGGCGAATTTTGCAACGATTTTTTGGTCGAACTCCTTGGAATTATGGGGAGATTTGGGGTGGTAATTGAAGAGGACACTGTGGTCTTTCCAACGATATCAAAATTTGACGGTATCGGTGATCGGAAATGGCCTAAAAATTGCTGCAAAAGTAGCCGAAAAAATTGAAATTTCAGTGACCATTTCTGAAAGCGTCTGAAAACTTAAGTGACCGTTACTGAAAGTTTTAAACTTCAGTGATCGTTTTGTAATTTTTGCCTAAGTTCAGTGACCATTTGTGAAATTAACCCAAATGGAAACCATTAATTTAAATAACATTAGAATTATTTTCAGCATAACCTTTCTTTTCAATTGAAGATGCTATTGTTTACATGCTAATTAATTAAGGACAATATTTCCTAGTTAGTATAGGTTTTATGTCTTAATTAGACTAAGTATTCTTGCTTTCATTCCGTGTTACACTGATGTGTTCATTGTAATTTGGTCGTTCAAAGAATCGTGATAGCATTCTTGTTCGATTCTGTTTAAGTTGGTATCAGCATGCAATGTTAACCTCAAAATCTGTCCGATCAACTAATTTTGAAGGCCCTTTTTCTGAATCTTCGCACCATAAATTCATGGAGAATGGCTATTTTGTTCGAGGATTTTTTGCCAGCTTACCCATTCATGTTTTTGGGCCATCATCTTCCTATTTTTAGGGTATTATGCGGGATATTAAGGTAGTACACCCCAGTAAAATGAATAAGATTTTAACTTCTTCATATTTTTCCCGGCAAGCATATGAATTGCAGGAAAAACTCGAGCCAATAGATTCCAGTGAACTAAATATTAAGTTAGTTTAGCGCAGAAATTACACTATAATAATAGGAGTAACATCAGTACAGCAGTGCCATATAAACTCTCCTTTTACTTTGAATTATCAAAGTTACAGTTCTGCAGATTGAAACTGGAACACGTCATCAATAAGAATACGGACATCACCATAGATACAGAAAAGCCAAAGCCAAAGCCAAATAACAGAGGACTGGTGCTCTGTGTAACCAAACACAAGAAACTTGCAAATGTTTTACCTAGCAGAGGCTAATGGATGAGTAAAAGCCAGAATCTGGTTGTGACAAAACTGCAGGAATCCACACCAAAAAAAAAAAAATGTCCTGTTAAAACTATGTGATGCTATTTTCATCCCTCTTTCGAAGATTTACTTGCAGATGTTTTCAACTCCCATGGAGGTAGGCAGCCTTTATAGTGGGAGTGTAAGAACAGTGAAGATATAGACACTTCTCTCTCTTTCTGGAGAATGGAAATAGACGAAAAGCAGCCAAAAGAGCTTCGTCGAATCTTCTTCTTGCAGCCAAAGCCTTGACAATTTGCACCATGTCGAACTGGAGATGTTTTAAGGGCATCCGGAAGAATACAATTGCAGAATGAACCTACAAGAGCAAAAGACAAAATGAAACCATATATTTTAGAAGGAAATCTTATTACACAGCAGAATTTCCATGAATCCAAATTGATATCTTCAGATGAAATGCATCACTGGCTTCTTTCTAGGGGTTTCATTATTATTATTTTCTTGATGTCTACTAGGTGGTAGTGCAGATTATATATGAGGAATTACAGATCAGAACCGTGCAAATTATGGAGCATCATTAGGTGCAGTAAATATTGCATTATGATGAAGATTAGATACCTATTTTAGCCAGCCGATTCACCCATTTTGGTATCCTGTTTCCTGTCAACTTGTAGCATATGTCCTCACAGAAATGGTTGCAGTTCTTCACAATCAAGTGATATGTATCCCCATAGTAATTAGCAGCATGGCGTTCCATGAACTCTTTAATTTCGTTAGGATTCAAATACGTCATCCCCATCAAAATTGACTTTCTGAATTTGAAACCAGGGCACTGTCGCGGTTCAATTTCAAAGACGCCACTTGCAGGATAGTCATGGGCTCCAAAAGCATATTCAATGCCATGCACTAATAAAATCAGAAAAAAGAGAAATTTGTGTTTTATGATTTATAGACAAAATAAAAAATCACAGAGCCTACACATAAAGAAAAGGTAAATGATAAAATTTGAAAATCTTTGAATTTTTCTATCACAAGACTCAAAAAGCACCAAGCGAGATTCCAATGCAAACATGTGGCATGTCTAAAGCAAATGCAAGTGTATGTATATAGGTAAGATTACGTACATGATACATGTATCGCCCAATTGATAATATAATTCATTAACCACATATGCAATGTCCAAAATCAAAAGATAGTTTTTGTAAATCAAATTTTACTCGGCAATAATGTGAAAATTTGTTTGTTCTTGTTATGACATCTTTTACCAGACAACAATTTTTGCAGAAACTCAAATATTCAAATTCAAGAAGTCCAAGAAACCCTAAGGAGCCTCTGGTCTAATAGAATCTTTCATATATGGATTTGAGGAGGTTGTGACAAAACAATTGATGAAGTTGTAAAATCAAGAATAGATTGTGTGCCATTTGATGATCTGCTGACCAGAATGACGACCGTCTGAATTTCCCTGAGCCATTCCTCTTACTCATTCTACAAGTTTGAGCTTTTGAGGATAAATTTAAGAATATGCATTCAACTTCAGCAAATGACAAACTCAACCCCCGTGAAAATTGTCTGTTATATGCATACAGATATCAACTATAATGTTTTTGCAGTTTTAACAGGACTGCAATGGTTCTATCCATACAGCAGACATTAAACATGACATTGCAATTCAAAAAAGTAAGATTGATAATAATGTAACTTGCAGCGGTTGGACAATATAGAATCTAGTCATATCGTACACTTATCCCTCAACCGCAAATTGACCTAATATTGGGCAAGTGGAATAATTTTTCAAGGGGCATATGGGTGTTCCATACATGTACTACGCCACCCTAATAATCATAGTATAGAAGAATTTTTTATGATATGAAAGGATATTTCATAGTATTAAGAATATTTTCAAGGGGTATGTTGAGTATTTCAGACACAAGGCATCGAACTAACATTCATAGTATAAAAGAAGGTTTGAAGTAGCCATTCGTGGTGCCTGAGAGGTGTGACAATTCATTTTCTCTCAATCTCCATTATAGCGAAAAACTAGAGGCTGAAACACAATAAATCTAAGTGGTGGCTTAGCCTTTTTTTCCATTTTATTCTGTTTTTATGCTCCTGCAAACAGGGAATTGGGCTTAATCCCCAATAGAGGTTACGATCTAGTTGAGCCAGTAACAGAAGATTTACTTAATCAAAAATCTCGTTCTTATGGAATAAAAATTGGAGATCAAAAGACTGACTAAACCATGATTCGTAATTGAGAGCATAACCTACCTTCCACTCCAGAATGGAAGATACCAACGCCAGCCCAGTAGAAGTAACCATTTACCGTAGTCAAGTCATATACATTGAGATAAACGGGAAAGTTTTGGGGGCTATCGCTGGCCGAATTCACTTTAGGAAACAAGCAGAAGTCGTTTGCCGATTCTCCTTGCAAATGAAGGGGCACAAAAAAGACTGACTAAACCATGATTCGTAATTGAGAGCATAACCTACCTTCCACTCCAGAATGGAAGATACCAACGCCAGCCCAGTAGAAGTAACCATTTACCGTAGTCAAGTCATATACATTGAGATAAACGGGAAAGTTTTGGGGGCTATCGCTGGCCGAATTCACTTTAGGAAACAAGCAGAAGTCGTTTGCCGATTCTCCTTGCAAATGAAGGGGCACAATTGAGCGCCAGCAATTATTCATTTTTGGTTTCATGTTCAAAGTGAAACTAGAACTGTTCAATACCCAATCCCAACCTGCAATTGAAATTCAGACATAAATAACTGCTCATAATCAATGAAAATCTAAATGAGTGCACAAACGATGGTATTAGGGAAAATATTCTTAATTATCGAGAAACCTTGCAGTAACTTCTCTTTACGCAGTTCTGTTTACATTTGCCAAAGTACAGATTTCTATTTCCGTTTTAGATACAAGATGTAAAACAATAAATACCACAATCAAGACAACAACTTTAATATATAATGCTTGAAGAATAAACAGAAAAAAGAGATATATAAATATGCAAAAAGAAAGAAAAAAAGATAATTGTCCCATCTGTTATCATCTCCAGCTAAGGGATTCAGATAAAATTGAAGCTTTTCACAATGTATGGATCTAAACCCAAATAAGAAATCATGAAAGTGAGTTAACTTGACAACAATAAGCAAAAAATAGAACAACAAAAGGAAATATAATCAAATTATACATATTTCAAGATTCACAAATCCAGGTTCATAAAAGTAGAAGAGAATAACCCAATAAGGAAACTGAATTTAATAATGCAACCAATAGAAAAAGCAAACAAAAATAAAATTAAAGATTTAGATATCTCATAATCAAGAAAACTAGAAACCCATAAAATTTCTTGTACCTTAATCTCAGATGGTAAACATTATCAAAACATGAAAGGAATGGCTCTAACTCCACTGGAAAATGCCAAAATGGGCTACAAATTGCACAGCAAAAAGAACACCTGAAAGTGGGGGGAATGTGCCTGAAAAACAGCCATTTGTAGGCGGGGTCTAAGTCCAATGAAAATTAATTAAAAATAACGAAAGCTGCATTTTGACTGAGATTGTAAAAGGGTACAAAATCAGAGTCCAGCTTGTTGACAGAAAAAGGGCAGAGAAAAAGTTGACCTGTAATTTCGAAGGGCACTTCAATTTGTAATTAATTCAGGTTTTAAGACAAATTAAGGGATTATAACCGAATGGGATTAATAATATTAAAATGTTGAAAAGCGTAAAAATAAAGAAAAAATTTGAAATTTTAGAAACGTTTTATGATTCAAGAAACTTCATTCTTTACTTCTTTGTTTACTTGTGTGATTAGTAAGAGCATATTTGGTCATGTTTAAATATGTTGCTTATTTTGGTAAAAATAACGTTTGAAGTTATTATTTTACTAGTACAATTATTTTTTGGAAAAATAACTTTAATTATAATATTACGAGTTCTAAAAGTTTAATCTACCTCAATGAATATACTTCGAAGAATGAAAGTATAATTTTAAAGAACTATGATATTGAATAAACATATAACTACAAAAAGCAAAATGAAAATGCAATCACTATGAAATTAATGAAAACGGGGCAAATTTTTTGTTCTTGTGCGTAGTTTTCAGATAATTTAAAAGTAAACACTAAAATCGAAGGAAATAGTTTTCTATCGATCAAATATCGCGATGGATTTTCTTGTCGAACTTTCCAATTGTATTTCATATTTCACTTCTTAAGAACTTCCTCGTATTTCCAGAGTTGTTTGACAGAACTTGTATCAAAAAAATTAACATAGTTTGATAAAATTTGATGAAATATAAAGTTAAAATATTGTAAAAATTTTGAATCTTGTCATTCGTAAAATGTATCATTAAAATTAATTATTGTCTTTGATCTCGTCTTTTTAACAACTTTTTAAATTATTCCAAAAAAGGGCAACATTTACTATGCACCTTTACTTTTCAATGAAAAGCTTGTAGGGTCAATCAAAGTGAAAAATTGATGATGAAATATCAATATCGTATTGTGGCACGAAGGCATGAATTCAAAAATGTGGTCATCACCACTATTACTTTGTCTTTTTGTGAACAAATTGAATATTTGGTTTGCGCCAGAAGCTTGGATTAGTGATTCTTTTCAGCATACAAAGTATTAGTCAACTCAACTTTTTTATTCTCTCTTATGAAGAATATAAAAATATAAAAGAAATCCACAATTCAAAAGTTACTTGACTGCAAAAATAATGGGTCGATGATGCTAAACAAATAATTTACTAAGGTCTTGTTCGATAGTAATTATGATAATTGATTTTTTTATTGTTAGAGAGAAAATGGGATTTCACTTGTGAGAAAAGAAGTAAAAAATGACGGCTGATTTAAAAAAATAATGATAAAAAAATTGACATTTTGGATGAAAAATCAAAACAAAACATGCACTAAATTTGTAATTAAGCCCGTGTTTGATTTTTATTATTTGGTATTATAATTTTTAAAATAATGTTTTTTGAAGAATTTGTGATTAAAAAAGATGATAAAATTTTTTGTTTACATGCAATATTATTTTATTGAAAATTGTACATATAAAAATAAGAGAAAAAATTATAATGTGAAATATGGAGGCCAAACAGGGGGTAAATTAATACTTGACTTTAATTTCAAATTATTAAAAAAAGTTATGAGACTTGAACAAAACTCCTATATATTGATCAAAATGACATATAACTTATTTACTTAATTTCAAAATTATCGAGAATAAATTGTCAACTACCGTACGCATTGTACTTGAATGGAAAACTAAATAATAAGGGCTTTACTACATGTATCCGGGTGTTTACACACCCGAGTACAAATAGCATTTTCCAAATAATAAACATTAATCTAACACAAATTTATTTCTTAATTAAACCAATCTTATTTTATTCAAATATAAAAACATTTTATAAAAAAAAATTAATCCTTGTTTTGTGAAGATTAAAATTTTGTTAAAAATTGATGTATGGTTAAAATTTTTAGTTAAAATTAATTATTGATTTGAATTTAGATTAAAATTAAATTTTAATGTGAAACAAACAGGGACTTAGTAGGTGTGTAAGAAGTCCCATTTAAAATTTAAAAAAATAATAATAATAAAACTAAATTAAAATAATAATAATAATAATAATAATAAAAGGTGATGGGCAATCTCCAAAAGGTAAGGTCTAGTGAGTAGTGACAATTTGACTGTCAAGTAAATTTTCTATCAATTCTTTAGAATCAAAGCACCTGTCTTTCCAATACATCATTCTTTTTTTTTTTAATGTAACTTTGAGATTGACTATTTTACTGCTCTTTTACCAACTAGAACTAGAATGGTTGGAGAGCGCATGCGTGTCTGGTAATGATTTATCCGCCAGCTGTTTAGAGCAAAGTTTTTGTTCTTTGAACCTTACAACATATACGCTATAATGTACACTTTAATTTACACTTTACCACATGATATTACTTTATTGATCAGTTTAAATTTTAAATAATTTTTCCATTCAATTGACATTTGACAACAATACAAGTATCAATCAAAATATCAAAAATCAGTATACAAATAAAAAAATTCTTACTCTTTTGAGTTTCCAAGTAGAATTCGACGTCATTTATATTTTCCAATATTGTATATCAAACACTAAGAAGATTCTTCTGGATTTTCGCTCGATGATCATCTTCAAGAAGATTCCCAAAGTCTCGATATGCATTCAAGTGTGTGAAGGCGTTGATACAAAACTTTGATACAGCCCCTATAGAATTTTGAACAATCAATTTATACTCTAGTTAGTAGTGCATATTTTGGGGGTGATACCCACGTAATGTGTGGATAAAAATTGTGTTCAATGAGAAGTGATTATAAAATAATCATCAACCAAACATGCACTAATTCTTGAGTTATGAAACATTATACGAATGCACGAACACACTTGGGGAATATCAAGTATGGAAAAGCACATCTATCTATTCACAGCTGAAAAATTATTTCAAGTAGCAACAAAAAGCAACCGATTCGTAAACTATGAGATGTAACAGATTGCATTGTCTATGAAATATGCTATTTCT